ATTTTGGAGATGAGCTGTTTTTTACAGATGCAGGACCGTACAGCGAAGCCAAGCCCAGCAATCCCTAAGAAGAGCTCAAGGAGCCTCCAAGAGCCCATCGGCTGGGTCACTGTTTGCAGATGATGCGTAGTGCAACAAGGATTGAGAGAGTTGGAGCTGGTTCGGTTTTTTGTGCTTTATTTCATTTCCCGCAAACAATTTCCCAGACCCTTGCATCAAGGCTCACTACTAAGATGATCAGCCGTCTGCGTGCCAGTTTCACGGGTTTTCTTATTGGTTTTCACTGTGTTCCTCTGTTCTTCCTGCTGGGTCTATGGGTCGGGGATTCCTGTCTGTCTGTGATGGACACGCTGGGCCCCAGGGCCGGTGTCTACGCATTTTTCTCCCTCCTTTTGAGTGCAATGACATCTAGCGTTGTACGGAAACACCGTCACCGAGCCTGTGCGCAAGTGTTCACTCAGACTGACGCAGCGCTCTCAAAGTCAAAGAAAGACATCCAGCGCTGCCCGAACTTTACCAGACGAGCCTCTTGCGCACTTCGCAGCTGCCGTGCCGGACGGCCTGTCAGGTCAGGTCGGCTGCGGCTGCCCAAGTTCATTACCTTGCCGTCATGTGTTTGTGTCTGAGTTCAAGCATGTCTACACACTTCGTGGTCCAGCTTCGGCCATGCCGGACACGACGGGGAAGTTCACAACAGCAGACGTCAATCCGCCTGATTCCGTGCGCGTGTCGCCCTCTGTGTGCACCCTACCTGCAGGATCTAGATTCTAGGTGTCTCCGAACTAGCGTTGTGACGGGGACGTTCTGAGCCTCTTGTACATGCAATTCCTGGTGACCAGAGCCTTGTGGAAATGGCCATTGGGGTTTATCGCGCTCCTCTTGAATTTTTGCAGGTGGCCACTTCCCGCAAACACCCGAAGGCATTGGCTGATGGAGCGCAGCAATGCACCAAGTCCATTGTGGACATGGGATGTGCTCCCCTGGCTATGAAACGGACAGCAGAGTTGAGAAGGTGGGTTCAACGAGCCAAAGAGCTGAAGGAATCCTGCCCAACTTCATGTGAGCCCATGCCAGAACATTGCAAGCAAGTCCTACGTTTCAAGAACATGGAGCTGTTTCACGAGATGTTTAGTGCATTTAGGTATGGAGACAAAAACCCTTGTGCGTGACATTTGCAAAGGATTTGACCTCTCCGATACCGTGTTTGGGCGTTTTTCCTGAGAAGGTCACTCCTGCTTCGCTGACAAAGGACGAAGTTCGCCTCACCGCTGCAACCAACAGGAAAGCCACTTTGGATTCCATGCGCGCCTGCCAAGACAAAAAAGATTCTGCGGAAGTTTACAAGCTGACTTGCGAAGAAAGAAAGCGGGGTTGGATGGTCGGACTAATCAGTCTCGACTCGCTGCCAAAAGGTGCTATCCTAACCCGTAGGTTCGGGGTAGTCCATCCAGTCGTCAGTTGGAGAAGGAGGTAGCCATGTGAAAAAGATCCACCCCATTGATGATTTTACTCAGTCCCTAGGTCTCCTGACCATTTCGTCACGCGAGACGATTGCTCCTCAAGGTGTTGACACGATCTTGGCGTCCCTTCTTCACAGGATCCGCTTGTCCAGGAAGATGGGTCGTTCGCCGAATTTGAAACTTCGAAGATTGATTTGAGAAAAGCGAATTACCATTGTCGGAAGAAGCCCCCCTCGATTCGTATATCTGCGTTCATATCATTTCATATCCCTACAACCGGAAGACCGGAGATCCTCTAAACTCTTGTCCAGCCCTTCGGTGCGCGTCCCGCTGTTCAGGGATTGTGTCGAGCGTCCGCAGCACTATTGTTCCTTGACACCACATTGTTCTTCCTGCGTTGGACAGTGTTTTTCGATGATGTCGTTCTCATTGGCGACGACGCGGAATGTACTCTCTTAGACTCGGTTCAGTCGTTATTTTTTAAGGTTCTTGGCTGCGAACTTCAGTAGAAAAAGATCTTGGCTTCTCTGCTGTGGCTTGAGCGCTGGGCATTGAGAAGCACCGAAGCCCGCAAACGAGAACTTGTGGCAATCATTGACCGTGTCCTGGCGGATGGTGGGGCCCCAACCAAGGAGTTTTAGTGCCTGCGGGGCAGGTTGCTTGTAGCCGGGGGACAGATCTTTGGCTTTTTGGCCGTGGAGCCAACCAGTGCATGAAGGCCATCTCTGGTGCCTGCAGGGTGCAGGTCTTGTTAAGCTAGGTTCGGATCTCAGGGATGCCCTTTCTTTCCTTAGGGCTAGGGTAGTTCGTGGACCCCCGCGGTTTGTTCGAGCCTGCGAGAGACAGTGCAACCACCTTTTCACAGACCCATCTCTTGATGGCAACGGTGGAGGTGCGGCCGTGCAGGGCCTTATCAACGTGTGTGCTCCGATACGCAATTCGGGCATCATCCTGTATGTAGATAACGAAGCTGCGCTTGGTGCCTTGATCAAGTGCAGATCAGACTCGCAGGTCGATTCCGCCATGTTCAGGAATCTTCACGATTTTGGGGACAGTTCTGGGAACTGCGTTTGGTTTGAGACAATTCCTTCTAAATCAAACCCTGCCGATGCACTTAGGTTTGAGTGTGGGATGTTCCCTAAGTCCTTCCGCAAGAAGCTCAATGTAAGATTCCACATTGCTGGAACAGCTCGCCGGCATTGCCAGCGATGCAAATCAGTGAGACAGGGGGATAAATGATTTGCCATTCTTGCAAGAATCTTGTGCCGGACCCTTATTGCCAAATCTTGCAGGACCTTTGTGCCAGACATACCAATGTTCCTAATGTTGCACTGTGGGAATGCAAGCGGATCCGCGTTGTCAGACTTTCAGTTGCGTTCGGCCTTGCTTTCAAAAACAGAGTGCTGATTGAGAATCGGTTTGAATATATGATTTTTGATGATGCGCGTTTTATACAATTTGCAGTGAAACACATTGGCGCAAAACACACATGGGTTGCCGTTTTTGGTGAATGGCTGAATTTGAAAATGTCTCTCGTCGTAAAACGTATACGAGAGCGCGATTGATGTTCATATTGTGGTTTCATGCACCAAATGAGTCACCTCAAATATTTATTTTGTCATCCATCGAAGCCTACCGAAAGCAGGCAACCATGGTTTTCGTGTGGGTTCCGGTGCTAAACAAAGGCAGTCAGGAAGTTGAGAACGAGTGTAATGATTGGTTTTGTTTCCTCATGTTTCAGGAAATGCAACACATGCTCAAGGCAAGGATGTTGTAATGACCCTTTGTACATGAATTAATTTGTCGCAGTGAGGCATTTTGTATTTTGTAGAGTTGCATTTCGAAACAAATTCAGGCTATTGTTTATCCATCAATCACATACATCATTGGCTACATTTTCTGCACAGGAAAATTTGTACTTGGATTTGTTGTCACAGCACAGCAGTCGAGTCACTGCGGCATGTAAAGGTTCAGGATAGGTACCCAGCAGACTTGCCCAGCATCAGGAAAAGTCGACAAGCCATTGTGTGTGCACAGGTGCCTCCGGAACTCGATAGCTCAGATCTATTTTTGTCATTTTCCATATTTGCTCAGTAACTTGATGATGCGTTGATCGGTGTTTCGGTTTCTGTTTCTGTCAGTGCAGCATGTAGCGCTAGAGTTAGGGCTTGGCAAGGCGCCGTACGGTGAATGTGCAGCTATGAGAGCTATGCGCACAACCGAGCCCAGACCGCAGCGACAGCGTGCTCACCGCTTGCTGTGTGTGAAATGGCGTTCACGATGCATATGTGATGGCATGTTGGGAACATGTATGGGATTTCATTGAGTTTGTGTTGCAGGTCCTGCGTTCATTGAACTTTGAGGCCCCAGACTTTTGTTTTGTTAATCTTTTTCGCGTGTTGTTCCTTTGCCTGATTGAAAACACGTCTGAATGTCATTTTGGCTTTACCTGTTGCTTACATTTAGTTTTCATATTGTCCAGGCTCAATCAGTGCGTGTTACATGATGCACGATTGTTCGGCCAACAATTTCAATTCAAGCGCACTGCATGTTCCTTTTTCTTGCAATACGCATTGTCCGGCTTCACAAGTATAGTGTGACAAGCGCGACCATGCAAATCTTTCGTGCTTGGTGTTTTTCAGCAGATTGTTTGGAAGGGTTCGGGGCCGGAGCCTCATGCCAACAGTAGTCACTGACATGACATGCGAATGCGCAGAACTTCGAGCGTCGGATATCTTGCTCAGAGCATGGAACGCGTTTTGTTTTCGTCTAACAGTCTAACATGCATTGCTGGTTTGCACATTTGTATGCACGAGCTAATTTCACTAGTTTTTGTTGGATTTTTCATCGCGCACTCATCAGTGCTTTCGCGGACCCCGGCTAACCATTTTGAACGCTTTGTTCGAAAAGGTCCACGAATTGTTGTGTGCATGCATGAACTTGTGGACATCTGCCACGTTTGGACTTGTTCACAATTTCTTACATATGGGGACCCCAATTTCGACAATGTTGTAGATATTGTGGGGACTTTCAGAAACGGGCCCTCAATCTAATTTTCAGATGTGGTGGAATCGCTGCAGGGACAGGGCTGCATTTTTTTGTGCTCATGTGTTTGCGGCCAAAAAAAGGAAAAACGCTGCTACAGCAAATTTGCCCCCAGCTAAACGAAAGCTCCGGTGTGATTTGTTTTTAGTATCTTTGCTGGCACAAAATGTTTGGGTTTTGCCGTTGCATGTTGTAGCACACATGGGCATGGTGGTGCCGCGTGCCCCTGAACATGGTAATGTTGAGCCCACATTTTGTACCTTCTGTGTGGGTCCGTTTTGACTTTAGTTGCCTCGCAGCGAAGCGGATTTTTGTAATGGGTATTGGCATTTTACTCAAGTGCCGTTAGCTAGAAGAAAGCTTGGTGGGTTACTGCGGCGACGTCGATTTGTGATCTGATGTCCAGCCGGTCGAAGGCTTTGAACAAGCTGTAACCATGTCCGTTTTTGGACGAATGTCAAGCACGTGACATGTTGAAATGCTTCGTGCTGGCAGGATCCGGCCGAAAGTCCCGACATCCAGTTGGATCTCGAAAAGCTCAATGCTGCAGCTGCGGAGGGTTTCTTGCAGAACCAGAACAGCCCATGCATGCACTATATTGGGAATCTTATTCGGTTGTATAATTTTGTAAGCCTTTTGGTGAGGCTTGTTCACGTGCGCAGTTGAAATTCAGAAATTCACGCCATGTTTGCGTTTGCGGTTCGCATGGTCCCCCATGTGTGGCTTGAGGCTATTTCCTGGTTGATGAAGAAGATCAAGAAAAAGAGGGCGGCACCAGTGACACGCACGAGTTGATTGGAGATGTTGACCTCTTGACAGATGCCCAGAAGAAATCCTTTCACATGTTGAAAGAGTCAAGCATCTTGTCTGCCTGGTCTCCTGACTGAAGGCAGTGTGTGAAAGGCATCAGATGTGAACTCAGGCAAATATCCGCAATACAAGGTGAAACGAGTCAGTCTCAGCTTCAGCGGGGCCTCGGTGTTTTTCATGACTCCCATCCGGGAGGGTGGAGTCCCAATGCCTGCATCGGTGCTCAAGTTTGATTCCAAAGAGTGCCCCGTGGAATGCAATTGGGTTGAGATGATTGGCAGACCCCAAATCCAAAAAAACACATGGGCGACCAAGGCGTGGAAGATGAGAACTTTGGCTTCAATGATGGTTGCTCTTTTCTGCGTCATGTTGCAACGCTCCATCTCACCTTTCCTGTTAGTGCTTGGAACCTTTCTGTTTCTTTGCCCAGAGTCCCCAATAACCTCAAGCCTAAACCTTCCACCCTAAACCCTAACCAGGATGAAAAAGACCGAAGACTACAGACTGCTCTTTGGGTCAACGACTCCTCAGGCACAACTTGGTTGCAATGTGGTGTTCCCTCATTAGGTTCAGGGTTCAGGGGGAGAGGGTCTAGGGTAGGCATGTTCCTGGGTCAAGAGTACGTACTGAGACACAACCAGACGGCGAGGAGAGCACTTGACCCTCAACACCACATGGTAGCTTCCCAAACTAGGCGGACCCCAATATGGATGCCAAAAAATTATAGTCCTTATTATGGGGACCTCTCAACATGGAACCCCTAATTTTGGGAAACCCCCAAATCTCCATAACTCCCGATTCAGAGCTGCTGTCTGTTGCAAGGTTTGGGAATGCCTTAGTTCGCAGGCCTAAACCTCAGCATCCAAATCTAGAGCCCTGAAGCTTGAAGAACCTAAGCCCTAAACACCATTGTAACTTGATCTTGCATTTCCATTTCCTTTTATAACCTTTGTATATCCACTATGTATCCTTGTCTAACTCCATATCACCATACAACCCTAAAACCGTAAACCTCAAACCCCAAACCCTAAACCCTAAACACTAAGCCTCAAACCCAAAACCCTTGAATCCCAATACAGGTGAAGGACTTCTACTTGGTTGAAGGGGAAGATCCGTCATCAGTAATGCAGATTGACCTCTGCGGTGGCGTCTTCGGGCTTCCGGAGTTTGCCAAGGCAATAGTCGCCAAAGCGTTTCCGGGTTTAGGATTTAGGGTTCAGGGTTCAGGATTTAGGGTTCGGGGTTTGGGGTTCAGGATTTAGGATTCAGGGTTCAGGGTTTAGGATTTAGGGTTCAGAGCTGTTTTTCCACAGAGTTTAAGTATTTTGATAGGCATCCATTATAGGGGCATAGAACATCACCACAGAAATGGAGAAAGAAACGGGTTTAGAGTTTGGTTCGGGACTAGGGCAATGCAATGATTCAATACTAGAGCATCGAATCAAATGGAACACCAAATGTAAAATGAAATGGAGCTGTGCTTCATTGACGGTGTATGTATGTATGTATGTATGTATGTATGTATGTGTGTGTGTGTATGTATGTATGTATGTATGTATGTATGTATGTATGTATACATATCTATTTATACGGATGTAGGGATTATTGTGCAGGGATGTAGCATCCGAATAAGTGCCAATGAGGCAGAATCATGTTGAACATGATCTGGAGACTGGATTAATTTACAGGGTTTAAAGGAAGGTCTTGTTTCATATGGCACAGAACGTTGAAAATGATCTGGAGACTTGGATTAATTTACAGGGTTTAAAGGAAGGTCTTGTTTATTGTCCTAATTGGAAGGAAGCTACACTAAACCTTAAACCTTAAAAGCATCCGACCTCGGTGTTGCCAGATGCGGCATGCAGTACATCCTCAACCCGGCACGCACCGTCGTGGACTGCATTTTGAGCAAAACCGTTAGCCCGACGTCTTAAATATCCAGCCCTCAACCCTCAATTCTCAAGCCTACGAGATGTCTTACTTAACCCTAAACTACCTAAACCCTACATTCCTGAAACCTCGACCCCCAACCCTAAGCCCTAAACCCTATGAAAACCCTTAACCCTGTTCAAACCTTAAACCCTGAGCCCTCGAAACCCTAAATCCTATTAAAACTCTAAGGCCCTGAAGCCTAAACCCCAAAATCTTAACGCTTCCCCTCAAGAAGCAATTCGGTAGTTTCCCTAAATAGGGGAACCCCAATGTAGACCCCAAAATACTTTAATCCCAAGTATGGGGACCCAAAAAGGTAACCCTAATTTTCGGAAACCCTCATGCATCAATGAACTCGCTGGATTTCTATTTGGGGATTGTCCTAAATTACTGTCCATACGGGGTCCTATATATAGGTTCCTATGATAATACGGGGCCCTATATAAATTTCCCCCACCCTAAACCCTAAATCCTAAACCCTAAAGCCTACGGTAAACCCAGTAATTTAGGGAAACTCCCATTTGGAGGCGCCGCCCGTGCATACTTTTGCTTCCATTTTGGAAGCCGAGCTCGCAGAGGCCCTTTGGGGTTTTGGAGGGGACATGAGGGTTGTTCTAAAGGTCCTTGTAAAGAAGGGACCATTGGGAATACACTTCCTTAAAAGGGGATCCTAACCAAACAAAAAACCTACATTATGGCCATTTTGGGGACAAGTATTTTGAACAACCACCACATGAGGGCTTAAGGGTTTTGTGTATAGCGTTCTAGGGTTTTAGGGGTTTTAGGGGTTTTAGGGTTTATGGTCATACTTTTCTGTAGGGTTATGATAGGGTGACGTGAGGAAGAGAAAATGGAAGCGGCTGTAGATAGGATATAGGGTTTATGTAGGAATAATGGAAAAGTGGAAAACATGAACACTATTGGAATTACGGTAGGGATGTAGGGGTGAGTTGGGGGCTGTGTAGGGGAATGCAAAATAAAGAAGGAAGCTACTAGATCATTTAGGTTTTCGGGGTTACATGGGGTTATGTAGGGATATATGGGATATGTTACCCCTAGAACGGAGAATCACATTTAAAAAAACATGGAACCTACTGTTTAAGGTTCAGGGTTTGAAGGGGTTTGAGCTCAGTTCAGGATGGGGAGTTTGGGGTTGCATTCAAAAGGGTTTCTTTGAAGGGCTTCTAGTACTAAGGATGTACATATATACATGCCCATGCCGCGCATTATAGAGACGTAGATAGATAGATAGATAGATATATAGATAAACAGAGAGAGACACACACATCTATGTGAAAAAAAATATAGACATATACATATATATAGATGTCTATAAAACAAATGGGTGGAAGTCTGAGGTGATTAGGGACAGTTATTTTTGAGGCTGGGGGGAGGGGGAGAGCGGTTTTGAGGTTAAGGGGTGGCTTAGGGTCATGGCTGAGCTGGGCATTTTCCCAAGGTTGAACGCACGAGTTTGCATGAGGTGCCTATTGTAGTTGTATCAAAGCTTTGTGGGAAGTTTTGAAGGAGCTCGTAAGGTTCATTCACGAATGGTTGGCGCGAAGATCCTCGTTTCGCTGCAAGCAACTTTTGGAGATCGTCCACCAAAGGTTCAGGAGTTTCGCCTCCCTGTTGGAGGTGGAGCTGCGATATGGGTTCGAGCTTCCACATGTCGGTGCAGCTGCATGTCAAATGTCAACTCTAATCACAGGGCTCATTGCGATCCTCGCCACCGCTTTTCAACTTTTCAACGTGCTTCTGACTCGTCAGAAATTCTCGTAGTCATCGTCGCTTTCGGGCCGTTGGATCATGGATGTTGCTTGCCCTCCTCTGTGTGCTGTCCCAATACCCAGCTATCTGGTTTTTCTTGATGGCGTCTTCGTTCTGTGTCTCGGGGGGATGGTTCAGGGTTCCTCAAGAATCACGTCATAGGAGAGATTTTGTCGTTGTGCTGTGACTTTGTTCTGGCACTGCTGCCTCTGCTATTGTTGCTAGGGTTCTGTATCAGTCTATGCATTCTCACGGTAGTGCTGCTTGTAAGCCTTTGTGCGGAACAATAAACGTCCCCTGTGCTTAGCCAAAACAAAAACTCACCAGGATATTATAATGCTCATCATGGATGGGTCATCTCCTGCAGCACGCGCAGTAGCCAATTCCAATTGAGCCAAAAGAATACCTAAAACTTTTGCATCTTAAAGGAATGCCCATGACTGGGCATTAGACGCGAAGGAGTAGTCTTCGTTCCCGAATATCTATGCCAGGTTACTATGACGGTGGACATCATTCCGATTCTCAATGAAGCGCTGGAAAGGCGCATGTATCACTTCACGATGCCTGGGCCTTGGACTAGCCAAGCTCGTTCGCTAAGAGTTAATGGTTTAGGGCTGATCCCGTTCTTCCATGTCTGTCATGTTGATGGCGATTTTGACTATCAATCTGGTGATTGGTCATGATGGACAGAGATGTTGCTGATTTTTGTTGTTCTCCGTACATTTCGCCATGATGACGCCCTCTCATTTTGTTGTGGGTGCGCGCAGCCTAGGTCAGACCGAAATATCAAGTCACTATCGCTTGCAGACTCCTACAAGATCGTTCGCTTCGTCGGTCACGGAATCCTCAACCGCGCCAAGGTGCGCACGTAACAGGTCTTCACATGCGAGCTTAGCTTGCGCGTGAGCATCTTCCTCGCCATTATATTCTGAAGTCACACGCACGTAATTGGTTGCCAGACGACTTTTTTTTCTAAAGTTCAAACTTGTCGCAGGAGGGGGCCAAGCGTGCCGCGAAATCTCCGGCATTGGCAGCTGGATTCCAGAAGCCTGTGGAGATAGATGACTTGGACCCAAATGGGACAATCATTCAAGAGCTTTGCGGTCGGAATCCAGGCTTAAGAGCATAAGATTTAGGGATATGGCCTTACGAAAGCCTAAGCCATACAATATGATCCCTCTAGAATCCCTACATAATGAATTCCCTTGTCCCCTAGGAAGCAGACGGTGCGAGACATGTTCCAGCATTTTTCGGGAATGGAGTCCAAGCTTTCTGAGAAGTTCAAGAGGCAGGTGGTGGTTGGCCCCTCGGCGTCACAACCGCAGCAGGAATCTGCTTAAACCCTAAACCCTAGACCCCAAAGCACTGTTTTCGACCCATGGGGCTTGCGTCCACGTAAGCAGCGACATTTGAAGTGGTAAAGCGTGGTGGTGGTGGTGGTGGTGGTGGTGGTGGTGGTGGTGGTGCGGGCCGACAGTCGTGATGGTGGTCTTTGCGTCGTAGTAGTCGTCGTCGTCGTCGTCGTCGTAGTAGTAGTAGTAGTAGTAGACGACGTACCAGCAGGATCAGGAGGAGGAACAGTAGCAAGGGCAAGGCTTAGGGGCAGGGGTTTCAGAAGTTCTAGTAGAAGTTGTCGTCGTCCCCCCGTGGTCTTCGTAGTAGAAAGGCTGCAGTAGCAGTCAGCAGTGGGAGTTGCCGGATTGACAGGCTTGAGTTGCAGGCAGATTACTACCCCCTCTATGCTACCCCCTTTCCCCCTAGGTCCTAAATTAAGGTTATCCAGGGGGGTAATAGGGAAAACCCATGATTTTGGGTGTGTAAGGCCTGTGCCACAACGACCTCCACGGTGGAAACCTTCTCGTGGACTCGCAGGGTCTGGTTTGGCTGATCGACTTCGCGACGGTACCTCTGATGTACAGTCACACAGTCGTCCATGCTCACAGGAAATGTTGTGAATACAGTGATGGTTTCAAGTTGTCACGTGTTTTGACATGGCTATAGGCTGCAGGGTAGAGTGTGATGAAAACTTGATGCTGTTTCAAGCCCAGAAAGTCGCTGTGGCCACAGGTAGAGTCTGGGAAGCACGTTCTGATGGACTTGTCGAAGTTCCTCTCAGCGTGTACTTTCATGTACCTGCAAGACTCTGTCAATGAGAAGCATATCCAGTCCATCGCGAAGATCCTGTGCACGACCCCTGATGCTACAACCGATCTGCCAGTTTCGCTCTTGGATGAATTGAAGGAAGATCCCGTCGCCAAGCTTTTTTTTCAAATTCTTGTACGAATTCGTCATTGCATGTGCCTCTTCGAAAGCGGTCCCGGCTCCCCAGACAACGAAGCTCAGGCTAATCCAGTGGGCATAGATGAGGTACACGTGGAGCTTGCTAAGTTTTTTTTTGCTTTCTTTCCGGGGGGAACTCTTCAGAATGTTACATCGGAAGACACTGACAAGATGTCAAGATGCCCAAGGCAGAAGTCTTTAAGCTGAGGTTACTTGTGGCTGGAAATTCACTCGCGCAAAACTTGGGGGGCTTGCAAAGGCTTTTAGCCTGATCATTGTTACCTTGTTTTTGTTCTTACCAGTGGTAGAGATCAGAATTGCGCTGCAACTTGGCTCTCGCGCCAACAGTGCGAAGCTTCCTTGCTCTCAGCCCATTCTTTGCCATGGAAAGCAACATGCAAAACACCATTGGAACTGGGATTATACGGAGGCCCTACATGGATAACCTCTTCCCAAAGCCATGTAGAGTGTTCTTTCCCACAGTGTAATCCTATGGCCGAATCGTGGAAGCTCTGGTTTTTGGCCATGCAATCCCTGCACAGTGGAACAGGGACCCCACACGTTTTTCCTCATGTCCCTTGTAGGCTCGCAATACGGACAACCCAACCCTACACCCTAAACCCTAAACCCTAAACCCTAAACCCTAAACCCTAAATTGAATATGTTCCTGACCTTGCAGTCTGCTCCCTTAGCCCACAGGAAGAACCATGTCATGTCAAGGGTTATGAAGAGAGACCCCTAGAAGGGACCCCTAATCCCATTGCCTGACATACTCCCATAATGAGTCTCATGTTAGGGCGCTTAAGCTTAGGCTTCAAGGGACTTACAAGGGTGTCCACGAAGGGACGTCCTGTAGCCCTTAGATCATGATTTATGGCCTGATTTCTTGCTTAGGACGGCATACCTTTCGCTATCGCCCTCTTCGCGTGGTCAGCCCGTATGCAGAGTTACAGCGAGCCTCGTCCATCTAAGTTGTGGTTCGTTGTGGGTGACAGCAACCCCCATAAAGGCCCTGTACAGGGTTGTGGATTGTGTATGTTGTTTTGGGTTAGGATTATCATTCAGGAATTCCCCAAGATCAAATTGACAACGCGGGAAAATCCCCTGAATGATGAACAATCTGTGAGCCTTTTCGTTAACCTTGTTGAAGCCTCCCATGAACCGATCAATATTTTGATCCTCAGTGAACTCTCTCCATAAACCTGAAGTAATCAACAAGACCACAGCCCAAGGAAACAGGACCACCATAAGGGGGGGTTAATAGGTTCTTATCTATTTCCTAAACTTATTCTAAACCTCTAGACCGCAAGACCTAGACGCAAGACCCCAGGACCACATGGGGGCCTTCCTAAGGTAGAGTTGAAAACATGTCCATCATGCCACATGGAGGGGGGCGGGGGGGCCTTGCAGGGTGAGCAAACATCCCTGTATAACCCCCACATAATCCCAGTTTCCCATTGAATTTTCCATTTTGGCTGCATTCTCCCTTACATAATCCCTACTTATCCTTTATAGCCACTATCCTTACTTAATGAAATTGAAAGGATATGGAGGTTTCCATAGACAGCGGGCCCCAACATAGACCCCAATATACAAAAAGCAAAACTCTGCATATCAGAAACTCTTAGCCCTAAACCCCGAATGAGCTGTAGTCTAAACTCCTTAAACGGAGGTTATGTGGGGGATCAGGGGGGGAGTAGACTAGGGCTATTGAGGGGGATGCTAAGAGATTAGACTACAGCTCAAATGATAGGTTTCCATCCTATTTGCCATTCCTGTGTATACCCCGGAAGAACCCTTGAGAACCCCGCTATTGGGGGAATATCCGCCCTTATCCTCATTAAACCCTGAACCATAAACCCAAAGCCCTAAACCCTAAATCCTAAACCCTAGGCCCTAAGCCCTAAGCCCTAAACCCTAAGCCCTAAGCCCTAAAAAACCCTAAGCCCTTAGCCCTCAACCTCGCTTTTTTAGTCAAGTTCCAAGATGCAGGAGCCGACTTTGTTCCAGAAGACGCGAGCTTTGCGCCTCGAGAGTGAGGGGATTAGCTTTAAGGTTTAGGGCTTAGGGCTGAAGGTTTAGGGTTCGATGGGTCGTTTGATGGAAAAGACCGTGCAGAACAGGTGCCCAAATATGATTATTGACTCGTTGACTTGTCAGGCATGGAACATGTTGCACTTGAGATGAGAATCACTTTATCATCAACCATTATCCCTGCATGGGCTAAACCTTTGCATGCGTGTAAATCTCCCTTATACACACACACACACCCATATATATATATATATATGCACTTTTTCGCGTTTCGTAATGCAACCCAGACCTGAACCCTTAAAGCCCCTAGGCCCCAAATCACAAATCCTAAGCTCTAAGCCCCAAACCCGAAACCCCAAACCCTAAATCCTAAACTCTAAGCCCTAAACCCTAAATCCACCCGGTGGAGAAGAGGTCACAAAAGAAAGATACCCTAAATCCACCAGGTACTTTGCTGTGGCTGGTGTCCAGCGCATCCTCTGGTCGATGGGCGAAGAGATCGGCCCGACAGCCTCGAAGTGGATTGAGGCCACACAGTTTATTGTTTGGGGTTTGGGCTTTAGGGCTTTTGATATGGGTTTTAGGGTTTACGGCTAGGGATTTAGGGTTCAGTTTTGGGGTTTAGGGTTTGGGATTTGAATTCCGGGTTTCGTCTTTGGGGTTCAGAATTTGGGGTTTAGGTGGTGTGAGTTTTTGCTTTCGGGCTTCGGCCTTGGGGGTTCAGGGCTTCAGCCGCGGGGTGTTGCAGTTTCAGAATCATAGTCCCCCTTAAGTAGATAGAATATGGGGTATATGGGGATCATATGCCCAAAGCCATATTCTATCTACTTAAGGGGGACTATAAATGTAACAGTCTTTTTCCAGCCAAGGAGAAAGCGTCTGTTTTTTCAGACCTCTACAGTAGTGGCCAGGAGTCAAGAAGTTGCGTTTGCTGTTGCCCCCATGCCTTTGCAAGGGGAAGTTGTCGCGTCTTCGTTGGTTGAGCACGCCACTGGTCATTCATCAGCGCAATGATTATGACTGTTCCGTTTACGGTCGTTGTTGCCGCAGTAATTTGGTAGTCTCCCTCAATACGGGGACCCTAATGTAGACCCCAAAATATTCTTGTCCTTAATATGGAGGCCCCAAAATGGCATCCCTAATTTTGGGTGACCCCCATATACCATTGCATGCAAAGCTCAAGACCAACCTTCCCTTCTTTCTGGTTTTGAAAGAAATCCTTGTCTTAGTTCACACGTAACCCCCAACAATGTAGTAGTTTCTAGTGGATCTCCATAGTAGCCCCCGGAAAATCCCAATGGTATAATATGATCTCGTGTGATCTAGTATAGTAGTGTCTAATGGAGTATAATATGCTAATGACAGAGTATGATATAGTGTAATCTAGTATAACAGCGTACTGACTACTAACAACTAGCAGGGCTGAAGCATGGCCTGGCAGGCTTCGCTGGGAAAATGGGAGGGGCAGAAGGGACGACGATTGAGTACGTCCGTGGCTGGAGAAAGGACGGGAAGTTTGAAGGGTTTAGGGATTAGGGCTTAGGTTTTTCGGGTTTCGGGATTAGGGTTGAGGGATTAGTTGGGATTAGGGTTCAGGGACTAGGGTTTAGGGATTAGGGAGATGTAGGAGTTATATAGGGGTTACCTCAGGGGTTATATACGAGAAGTTATGCAGCGCTCCGGTTCTAGGGTGGATAGTCAAAATCCTGGAGAACCCTCAGTACCCTGTACCTTTGGAGTTGCGGTACTATAGTGTACTAAGGCTACTAAGGACATGCAGGGTTTTTAGAATCAACAGTATTGCGCAACTACCATGAACATGACTCTGATAGCATTGCCATGCGTGTGCTTGTCAAAGGTACTTGGAGGCCCAATTATAGGGAGTTGCCCCAATTATAGGTAGGGTTGTAATCCCAGTTATCAGTAATTACTAAGTCCCATGGGCCTCCAAGTAGAGTCCCTTTTCAAGTCTTCCGATCTGTGAAATCACGTGATCACATTGTTGGCAGTCACCTGGGGAATCCTAAGCCCTAAAGCTAAACCTGGTTTAGGGTATAGGGTTTAGGGTATAGGGTTTAGGGTATAGGGTTTAGGGTTTAGGGTATAGGGGCCCTAAACCTTGAACATTGAGCCCGTAAACCTTTAAACCCTAAACCTTGAACCCTAAACTCTAAATGAAGTCAACGTTGCCTTTGAATCCTGGTTTTCAGGATGGCGGTGCCTGCTTATGAGCCGGAGACTTGGGGGATTCCCCTAAACCAGGGGTACATTTAATGTAGGGGATGTAGGGTTCAGGGTTAGGGTTTCCTTAAACTATGGGGTGTTTAGGGTTTAGGGTTAAGGGGCACATTCTTGGGGGTCGACTGTAGTATGTTGGGGTCTATATGGGGTCCCTTTTGTTTAGGAAACTACCACTTGGGGGGGTCTTGCAGGGCTGATCCAAGCAGACCCAGAAATCTGGCAGGAGCCTGGCATCCCCTACTAGCATTATGAAAAACTACAAACTTATAGTTATGATTGATGCTGTTATTTTGAGTCATATTATATAGTACGAGTAGTTGTATTGGTTTTGTGTTTGATTCTTGCCGCTATGATTACTTTTGCTAATGATCTTTTAGTGCAGATGTTCAGGTAGTTCAGGGTTTTAGATATCATGCAAGGAGCCCGGAGGCCGCTCGGACTGAGGTTTTGCTTTTGAAGCCCGGTTTTGGACATCGTTTGGGTACTGCCCCCACTCATTATCAGTTGTATAGTATGCATAATATATTTATACATTGCCCTGAATATGACCCTAAACCCCAACCCTAACCCGAAACCCGAAGCCCCCAAAATCTCAAGACCTAATCCCAAGGCCTGAACCCCTAAACCTTGAACCGAGTGGGGGCAGGATCCAAGACATCCTGTGCGGCATGTTATAAAGGCGGAGGTTTGGGGAATTCAGGAGGTTGGGGCTTTGGAGGCAGGACCATTTCCCCTAAACCCTCAACCGAATCCTAAACCCTAAACCCGAAACACTTGTGGCTCTAAGGTTTGAGCTCGAGTTCCAGACCTACTGTGCTCAAGCAGGATCATCCGAGGCCTGGACAACTGACATCCTTACGCGTGAGAAAGTCAACGTTACGGAGCACTGTACAGAGCCGCTCGTCCTGACTCGCAGCCAAACCATTCAGGGTTCCCTAAACCCTAGGGCTTTGGGTGGTTTAGGGTTTAGGTTTCTTAGGGCTTGGGGTTCAGGTTTTCTCGAGGGACGCCTTGGGGTTGGAGGCTGGTTGCCCACCGGAAACAAAGTTTTGAAAGGCTTCAAGTTCGGTTGGAAGAATGACAAATGTGTGGTAGTAGCACTCAGTCCCGTGTCCCAGCTTGCAAATGGAGCCTCATGTTAGGGCTTTCCGGGGGCCTATTAAGAGTGGATATAAGGGTTTCTGTGGCAGTTTGGTATAATCCATAATGCACTCCTGAAAAGGAAATTATGTCCATTGCTTGTATTATGGGAACTAGTAACCATAGCTCATGTGAAGGCGACCTCAAAAAGCAAAAGCCTGAGTATGTCTCCAAACACACCGCGTAATGTAGACCCTTTATTAATCAACCCCCCACTCCTGAATAGGGATTATAGTAGGGATCCTAATATTACGGCCCTTAAAAGGACGTTTTTTTTCTCATGGGTCTACATTACCGTCGCCGCTCCGAAGATGCCAACAGGGAACATCTAGGAACCAAAGCATCAAGAACGACTTCCTCAGAAAATTCTGTTGAAGGTAAGGCTTTCAGCGACCTGGTACGGTTCAAGCGGGTTTAGGGTTAAGGGTCCGGGATTTTGGGTTTAGGGTGCCAAGAGGTCTCAACCCAACAGTCCTTATCAACCCTAGACCCTACTTGGAGGGTCAGGGGACTTAGTAAGTGGGATTTTAATGGGATAACTAGGGTTACTATACGGGTTATAGGGGTTATTAGCCTACTTATTAAGTCACCCTGACCCTCCAAGTAAGCCCAGATTCCATTTCATTTTCGTTGGTCTCCTCCATGTGCTTTTCCATTATTCGGGTACTGTCCCTGTACAATCCTTGTAGAACCCCTGTACAATCCCTACAAATCCCAAACCCGAAGCTTTAAATTGTAGTTTCCATTTCATCTTCCATTAACCCCAGCTAGAAATTGACCTATGCCCGGCTAGCCCTAAACCCTAAACCCGAAACCCCTAAATCCTAAACGCTAAACCATAAACCCTAAGTCAAGGCTTGCGCTTCAATTTGCGGGTACGTTGAACACGCGTCTGGCCTGTCTTCCAGACAAGGCCTAGGGTTATAGAAAAATGTATAGGACTTTCCCAAAATTAGAGATACCTTATTGCGGGGTCCATTATAGGATTATAGTATTTGGGGGTCTATATGGGGTCCCCTTATTTAGGGAAACTACCGTATAGGCTAGGTCAGGAGGACCCCCCCCACCCAGTAAAAGTGGTATAATTGGTGTTATAAGAATATCAGAGGACCCTATTCCTCCTAGTCACTACTACTGGGTGGGGGGTCCACCTAATGTATATGGTTCATGTCCTGAGTTTTGGGCGGGTTTTGGGCAAAGTCTTGGGCGGATTCTTGGCTTTGCTTTTCCTTCTGCAAAATCACTTACAATCAGGGCTTTCTGGGGTTGTTTTTCCAATCCCGCCTTGCGCATTTAGTTGGGCATCGCACTTGCCCTTCTTCCTGCCAATGCACAGTCAGCAGCTGCAATCAGCAGAATCACCAAAACGTAAAACTTGGAATGCGGGATTCGCTGGTGGCTTGTGTTCGTGTAATTTGCTTCGGGAAGCTTCAAGCATAGCTAGCTGACAAAACGGGGATCAAGGGCACTAGGAAGGTATCATGGAACCAGGTCAGACTCCCTGTCACAACCCCAGGGTTTAGGGTTTAAGGTCATCAACCCTCATGTGGACGCTTGAAGCCCATGTGTTGAAGCTGTTTTCTGGACAGGCGAAAGTCTTGTGGGCGAAGGTCTCAAAGGTGTACAAGAAGTTCGCACCCGACATGCTGACATTGGAGCTACTAAACTTATGTTTTATATTGGCAGCATACAGGGGTTATATAGGGGTCATGTAGGATTGTTTTGTTTAATTGCGACAGTTGAGGGTTTAGGGCTTAATGGTTTTTGGTGCAAGTGCGGGATTTCGGATGCAGGTGTTTACCTCCTTGCTGTGGGGCCTTCACTTGCAGAACTAGATTCCATCCTCAGACTTGTTGAACGTGCCTTCTTCACTCCTAAACACTGTTGCTTCTTAGTACAGGAATTGTTCAAAGACCAAGGGCCCCCAGGCAATCACTCGCGCAAACCCCAAGCCCTAAACCCCGAACCCCAGCTCTTAGCCGCCAGCCCCAAAGGGGGTTTAGGGTTAAGGGTTTGGGTTTAGGATTTAGTGTTTGGGGTTTAGGATTTAGGGTTGAGGGTTTAAAACCTTGCACGGGATGCGTGGGTGAGCTGCCACGAAGGCTAAGGGGTTGTAGGCTGGCTCTTGCACTGTGCATCTTTAGGGCTCAAATTAAAGCTTAGCTCCAACCTCCCAAACCCTAAACCCTAAGCCATAAACCCCAAAACCTAAACTAGCCTTTCCTTTTGTTTAAGACAAAAAGCTAGCCTTTCCATGAGGCTGTTTTGCGGACGAAGTCTGGTCATCGGGGATGGCGGAACCGGCAAGACTGTTCTGACCAAGCAACTCCTCGCCGAGGTGGCCCAAATGGAGGCTACTTGAGCCAAAGTCTAAATTCCTTGAAGGGGGCTATATAGAGGATTTGAGAGGGGACTGCTGTAGGTCTTATTGAGGGGGATATTAGGAGTTTAGACTATAGTTGCCTTGGCATCAGTATTCAACAAGGAGAGGGCTATATAGGAATAATGGAGAATCAAATGGAAAACCCAATGCAAAATTGAATGGAAGCTATTGTATAGAGGGTTATAACAGGATTAGATGGTAGTTCCCCTAAATAGGGGGGGCCCTATAGAGACCCCCTAAGATTATAGTCCTTGGAAATAGGGACCCGCACAAAGGTGCACCTAATTTTGGGAAACTCCCAAATAAAGTACCAGCAGTATTTCCACAACGCCCTTACCAGCGGTGGAGACCGTTTGCAACTGGAATGCGTGTAAAGATATCAAGCAGAGGGGGTGAGCTTTGGCTCGAGGAGTCGTAGTGATGGTGATTGGGTTTTACATAGGAAAGCACTTGCGAGCTAGATGCTGGCGTTTCTGCACAGGTTTGCCGCCAGCAGTTTGGTGTTTTTCTGCGCAGTAAGGATGATTATGATAGAGAATCTACCATGTAACCTTTATGTACAGCCCCAGAGTCAATTTTATTTTTCACATGCTTCTCCTTTGATTTTCCATTATTGGGGTAGAATCCCATTATAATATCCTAATATCTTGAGGAACTCCAAGAAAGAGGAACGAAAGGGGGCAGAAGGAGCGAGGAGGATGAAGGAATAGGCCCAGGAGCAGGGGAGACATGTGCGAAGACGACACATGAGCAAGAGTCTAAACTCCTACTATCCCGCTTCTCTGCTATATAGTCCCCTATGTAATCCCCTTGAAGGAGTGTAGACCCTAAATCCTAAACCGCCTTTAATCCCGTCTCTATTCGGGTTCAGGGTTTAGGTTCCCTCACTTTGGTAGCGCGATTTAGGGTTTATATAGGCTCTAGGGTTTGGGGCAGCATGTTTTGCCAACGAGGATTGTCCTTCACCGGTTTTTCGGTGCATAGCTTCTTTAGATCAAAGCCCAAACCCTGAGCCCTGAAACCCAGCAGCACCTAGATACAACAAATGACGCCCGCAAACTAGCTTGAAAGCTTATTCTAGTTCTGGTCGCCTCGGATATTGTACAGCAAGTAACGCAAAACCCTAAACCCTAAACCCTTGCCCAAAGAGCACTGGAGTTCTATCGAAAGCCTTGTCTTTACTCTCCTTCCCGTACATCCTCGAGCCCCATAGCTTGCAGGGCTGGGTTTTAGGGTTTAGGATTTCGGGTTTAGGGTTCAGGGTTTAGTTTCGGGCCACAATCTGCAGTCCGTAAGGGTGCCTGATTTGAGAAGCTGCTGTATGGTAGGGTCTGATATAGACCCTAGAAATATTAGAGGACTGAGTATAGGAACCCCACCCAAAAAGGTTTTGTTGATTTCTGGAAACCCTGATCCCTATAGACCAGTATAACCTCAGTTTTCATTCCATTTGTAATTTTCGGGCTCTTTAGGAGACCCCATTTGGAGAAACCTCTACAAGTAGTAAAAACCTTTTATACCACTATCGCAGCCCTATGTAGCCTGGTATGTAGCCCCTATATGATCCCTCGAATTGGCGTTTGAGACCCACATTTATATTAAACCCAACATCAGAACCCTAAATCCCTTAAGCCTGAAAACCCTAAACCCTAGACTCTAAACCCTCACCTCTCAAGACTAAACCCAAAACCCAAAACCCTTAAAACCTCTTTTTCGAAACTCCTGGCTCAGGTTAAGGAACTTCGTGACGCCGCCGAGGCCAAGAAACCTTCCAAGGAGGAGGGGATTTCCTTAAAGCAAGATTGAGGATTCAGGGTTTAGGGTTTAGGATTGAACGTTAGGGATTGAGGATATCGGATTTGGACTTAGGATTTAGGGCTTTGGGTTTGGGATTTGAGGGTTTAGGATTGAGGGTTTGGGAAAGTACTGGTCTGAAACTACAGTTCATTATGGTCTCTACATGTGTTTCCACGCGTTGCCCCGAGAACGTACTTTGGGCAAACTTCCAGGAGAAGGACCCGAAGAGCAAAGCCAAGCCGAAGAAAGAGCCCCACCAGGCAGCTTAGATTTCAGGGCTGCCCCTTTGTGTGCGCAGAGTTCAGGCCGTTCAGGGTTCAGGGTTGAGGGTTTAGGGGTTTCGGGTTTAGGGTTTAGGATTCAGGGTTTAATTTTTTTATTGGCGGCTTCATTTGGATGTTCTCGGCTGGGAGGTCCAGGCACATTTGCAGAGATTACGGCCAAACCCTAACCCTAAACCCTAGGGGTATCGAGACTTGGGACTTTCAAGCAAATCACCGTGCTGCAGGCCGTGGAATGTCTACACAACCCCATCACAATCTTGAATTATCCCTCAGGTACCCAAAGCCCTCTGTCTAAAGAAATCTCGTATTGAATATGTCCCCCAATCTAGAAGGTCTCTTATGGGGAATCATTTCAGGGTGGAGGGGATTTAGTATATCAGCTGGGGGTTGCCCCAAAGCCTAATCCGCCAGGTGATGGTGCCAATCCGGGTTCCCCTGGTCGACATCTCGCGGCAGATGGCTGAAGCTCCAGACATGATGCTGGAGGTCGAAAGATGAGGGGGGATATGGGTTTACGGTTTAGGGTTTCAGGGTTTGGGGTTACAAAAAATTCAGGTTTTCGGGTTGAAGGGCCTGGGGTGATACGATATTGAGGGTTTAGGGTTGAAGGGTTTAGAGTTATTCATTCTTCAGCGTTTAGGGTTTAAGAGTTTAGGGTTACATGATATTCAGGGTTGTAAGGGTTCAGGGATCAGGGGTCAAGGCTCAGGGTTTAGGGTTATATAGGGACTCTAGGATAGGGATATATAGATTACATTCTGCTGATGGTCGAAAGGTATTATGATTCTTATCATGCGGACCCCTAAAAAAGGAACCCGATTTTGCGGAAACCACCAAAGTCCACTATTCGGTGTTAAGTCTAGCATGAGGGTTGTAAAGAAGGTGTTTTTTTGTTTCGGGATCACGTTGGGAAAGGTTTTTATTCGAATTCATGCAGGCAACGTTAGCCTATTGAGGTGTCACTGGATTTCTATGAGGTCCAAGTCAGATGTGAAGGCGGTACTGTAAGGTTCTGTGTGAGCCTCGCTGTGGGTTGTATGAGGCTTTATAGGATTAGCTGCAGGCGGATGTTGTCCTGGATCCCATCGCCGTGTGGATGTCGCGGAAGTATGGTGCGGACTCGTCCTTGTCACAGCTCATCGTGCAGGTGCGTCAGGCCAGTCAGGTCGACGAAGCACAGGAGGGTGTTTCCAAAAATACTAGAGTATACTATAGTATACTTTCATACATTATACAATATAGTTTAATATACGATAATATACAAACAACTATAATATAATATACTCTTTTAGAGTATAGTATATTAATGTCTTTACCCTGCTGAACAGGGACCCCTCCACATCTCCTTGAATCCCTGAATCTCCCTCAATTCTTGAAGGGTGCTCCTGTTTGGGGAAACCAGAGGAGGATGAGGCGCCCAGTGTGGCAGATGGGTCCGAAGACATCCTTGGCCTATTCATCCTTCTCGACGGCTTGGACGAAGCAGCAACGAAACGTGGCATGATCCTGGAGTACTTGAAGTCGCTCCTGGAAACAGAGCCCTGCCACTTTCCCATGCTGACCTCCCGACCAGGGGTCCTAGGATTTGCAGAGCAGGAGCAGCTGGCCTTCCTCGGCTTCGTGGCTTGTTTCATGGGCAGGCTCAGCCTGCAGAATTGCCTGGGACTTGCTGAATCCATCCTCAAGCGAGCTCGCGAACCCGAGTCCAGGATTCAGAAGCTGTTGGCAGCCAGGCTCTGAAGAGCAAGTTTTGTGCATAAGAAGAAGGGAAGCCCCATATGGTGTGATGTAGGGGATCCTAGTCTAGGTTTTTAATGCAGATGAGACTCTGGTAGAGCTTCTCCAAAAGAACATCCTCAGGGCGGCGACCCGTAGTGTTGAGAGGCTTTATATAGAGAGGTTCAAAAAGATTACCAATATTATGATTCTATATTTCTTGTTTAATTATGGTCTATGGCACCTCAAATGGACCTCAAAATGATAGTGGTAATGAATTTGGCCCCTGTAGTACTTGGCATGAAAGACGGCTCAGGAGATCATTGGCAACCCTTCGTACGCGGGTCTGACGGGCAATCCGATGTGCCTCACTTTGCTCACGCATGTCTTGCGCAAGTTCCATGTGGAACCTTGCAAAGAAATCCTGATCACTGTTTTCCCTAGAAAGTTGCCAGCTGTTGAGGAAGCCTTTCCAGTGACCCACCCTGACAAAGAAGTTCCAGACCCGCGCATATGCGTTCTCCATGATAGCTTTACTTCTCTAGTGTCTTATTGCCTGCCACGGGACCCTTCAGCCTCAGGCACCACACAGCCTCAAAGAAAGAATATTCCACAGAGCCAAGAAGTGATGCGACCAAATGGATTGAAACCAGCATCCAACATGAAGAAAGCAACATTCCCATGCTGGTCGCTCAGGACAGCGACGATGCGATTCTTAACAAGACAAGCATGTACCAGCGAGCATTGAAGTGCCTTCGCTTGCAGATTTAGTCGGATTGTCATCCTTCCTTTTTCGTCAAGCTGTCTCTGAGGTGAGGCGAGTTTCATCATATATGCTGATGCATAATTCTGTATGCAAGTCATCTGCAGACTGTCATCAAACTTAGTATCATAAGGTCATGCGGAATTTTCAGTATCAACCATAGCATGCATCATTGGCACGCAAGTGGTAACCCAGATAGGAAAAACTCTAGCAATAGCCAGGTCAAAGCCCATATCCCACCCAGTTACTATTGGTGTTTTGTAATATGCCTATCGCCCCCCTGAACCTACAACCCCGTATCATTCCAGTTTCCATCTAGTTTTCCACTATCTTTTCTATTTGATTGTCAATGATTGAGTAATACATCCCCCAGTTCCCTACCGAGGCAACCCTAGCACAGTATCAACCCTTGTACGGCGCCAAAGAAGGCCAAGAAGCGTAAGTTTTTCGTAATAAGCGTTGCCTACCTTTTTAGGCGGTAAAACCAAGCTTAAACCAAACCCCGAGCCCTAAACTCCAAACCCCGAACCGCACAAATGCAAAGCTGAGGTTGATGTTGCACCAGGCTGACGCAGCGTTGCTTGGCTTTGAGTCCCAAGGTTTAGGGTTGACGGCTATCCGGAAAGTCAGGGGTCACAGGTTTTGGGTGACACTACAAGAGGAATCCTCATAGCTTGGATATGCTGTTCCTGATTCGCCAATTTGAGTACTTTCGGGAGAACTGTTTCACTTGCAATGCTGGCACTCATGTTGTATTGTGTCATCAGTGTTGCTAAGAAGCACCATGCTTATAGTCTTCTTTCACTTACCAAATGGTATAGGTACTTGCAGTGACGGTCGCAACTCGCAAAGAGGTCACTTTTCGGGCTTGAGGGTATAGGCAACAGAGCCACATGAGTGGTTCTTCCCCACTTGACATGTTCTGAGGCATCTGACAGTTTTTCAGCATATAGCCACAAGATATACTTCATTATGATGTACTAGCTTGCATTTTCTTTTCCATTATACCCATATAACCCTCAGTTCGAGGTGTTGTAGCTTCCTGCCGCCTCCATCATTCGCTCTGCTACAGTGTTCATTGGGATTTGATGGTTCCTGGGTGAGATACCGTTCCTCGCCTAAACCCAAACAAGCCCAAAGACATTCTAAACCCTCATACACCTTCAACTCCAAACCCCCCAAAACCTCCTCAAAACACTCTCAGGCCGTGGCCTCCTTCACCCAGCACCCCAAACCCTAAACCC